TTGCCGGTGCTAGTAGGTGACGGCTGACGTGAGGGGATCATTGCACTCTCTGAAACCGGTGTCGATATATGTGCTCAAGATGACATAGCACCATTCCTATCAACAACACGTATTAACCTGGTCCCTGAGAATGTCCGCTTTGTGTCGTGTCACCTCTTATAGCTGGGGTAGCAAGATAAATTTACAAAATATAAACGGCCTGTATGTTATGACGGGGCACCAGTTCCAAAGGAACTTCATGCAAGTGACAGCTATTGTTGCGACTTGAACCGTTGTACCCAGCCTTTAACCGGAGCTAGGAAAATATCGGTTTGTGTCATTGATACGTACTATCTGTAAGTAAACGTTCGAGAGCATATGCTCTAAAACAGCGCTTTTTAAGCTTTTTTGAACTAATACGACTTCGCGAGGATCAGCAAAATGAAGTACCACTGTTACTGAATTGTTACTTTCCGTAGTATTCATTTGAAGGAAAAGTAACTGTAATCACTATAGTTGCAATAGTTATGACGCTGGCGAGTGACGCTTTGTGTAGCCTAAAGTACCACCAGTTGTACGCGTATCTATATGGCCCTAAGGTGGGGACACGGTATAAGCGACGATTACTGATGTGTAGTGAGGATTTTTAGTATAATTCAGCTAATCCATCATAGACACTCCCAATCAGCAGGCTTAGGCTGGTCTGGAAAAGCACCAGACGCCGGCCTCTTGACATTCTGGGTCTCGTCTATGGTGCGCCTTCCAGCAGACCCCTGCCGGGTTCCACCCGCATGACTTCAGGAGGCCAGCAGCTAGTGCCATTTTGCCACGGGTGACAGCCACGGACCTGTGTGGTTGACAGTTGCCTATGATATATCCCGGCCCATGGCTAAGTGGCACTAGCTGCTGGTATCCTGAAGTCATGGGAGCGGAACCCGGCAGGGGTCCGCTGGGTGGCGCACCACTAACGAGACCCAGAAGGTCGAGAGACCGGCGTCTGGTGCTTTTCCAGACTAGCCTAAGCCTGCTGATTGTGAGTGAAGAAGGTGAATTAGCTGAATTATAAGCAACAATTGACTGGACATTCTCGACCGCCTTTCACTGGCAACACGAGGAGAGTGTGCGTGCGTGCGTGCGTGCGTGCGTGTATATGTGTTGCCCTCAGCATGGTGGATTAAAGATTGACCTTTGGTGAACCTGCGATATCACTCACTAACATTGGTGTTGTCATAGTCCCGGCTGAGAAAGATCGACTGGTTTGGGAGCGCCGTAGATCGACTCGGCGGTGCCTCGCTGACTTATCTGTACTGTATATCACCAGTGGCTGGTTCTTTGTTTGGATGCAATTCGGTCTGGCCCTCTTTTGACTGCATTGCATGTGACGGCCCGCTACTCTCCTCGTGACCCAGTGGCATAAACTGATAGTTAATTGGCGAAAGATGCTGTCGGCCAAGGATCTGTTCCCTACAAGGGACCGAGGGAATGCGCACCAATGATGGGCCCCAGTAGTGTGAAATGATCGGCTGGTGCTTTATCAGACTGGTGCTTTGATTGTCTTACTTGTGAGTTCTGGAGAAGACCCGGTGGAATTTTTTTATGTGTATGCACTCAACGTCAGAGCTCACATCTACATTGTTGGTCAATGCATCTGCGGTTTAGTTTGGTCTCTCCTACCAATAAACGCAATGACTTGTGATCTGTGTCAAGTTGGAAAATTCACCGAGAATACTGATGGAACCTTTTCACACCGCTGATAACGGATAGGGCTTCTTTGTCTAGCCGTGAATAGTCTCCGCTGATCGTAAAGTGCGTGTGTCAAGCGTTATAGTGCGCAAAGTCAGTTCATTTGTGCGGTTTTGCAAGACAGCACCTACACCCTAAAGGGATGCGTCATAATGGAGAACGGGGCGGCTTCCCATGACCATAACGAATTAACATTGACGAAGGCACCAGTTTGCCGAGGACCCCAACACAACGGTACTTTTTATGGAGTAACTCATTCAGTGAAGATAATATAATGGATGCATCAGACAAGAAGCGGCGGTAATGAGATAGCATTCTTAGAATCACACAATGTTCATCAATGTTCCTCGATTCATGGCTTTGTAAAATGGGTTTTGCTTGCTTGTCTAGAAAGGGTAAATCGACCTTATCAAGACTTTATCCAAGATAGCACACAGACAAGGAAAGGAACTCATCATTAAAATTTCAACATTTGTTCCAGCCGTTCAAACACAACAGACAACGCTTGGTGGTCCACTGCGTCGAGGTAGCCGGAGACGAAAATATCATCCAAATACGTAAAGTGAAAGGTATATCCATTACCAAATCACCACTAAACGTTGGAAGACACCGGAAGCAGAGTTGATGCCAAAAGGTAAACGGGTGTATTGGCAAAGTCCCAAATGTGTGATGATTGTTGTAAGCTCCCGAGAAAGCTCATCACCTTCTATTTGTGCATATGTGTGACCGAAGTCAAGTTTGGGAAATTCTTCACCGTATAGATGTGTAGCGTACAAGTCATCAATGCAGGGGCGATAGGTATCTACCATGGAAGACTGGTTAACAGTCGTCTTGTAGTCAACGAAAATTCGCACAAAGACATCTGGTTTGGCTGCCGGTACGATTGGCATCCACTAGAATGAAAATTACACGAGTACAATTCCGGAGAGTACGTAATGGGTGGTTTTCACCAAACGACGATCGACAGCAGCAACCGGAAAGGATAACTGTCACCCCGACACAAGGAAGAAGTGCACCCGCAGTGGAAAACAGCATAGAAATTGTAACCCCGCCTTAACAAAATAAATGCAAAAGGGTTTGTGAAATTGGCCGAGACTGACGGGGAACCGTGGATCATGGAACGCAGCAGCTTCGCCTGAGCGAGGAAACCTCACGTGTCTTGACGCTGGATCACAGCAATGGGTCGATAACCATTCAAGTGTAAGGAGGCCAACACTTCGGCGCAGCGAACACGCCGGAAGAACAGGTTGGTCAGCCAAACGATGGGTGAGCACTGACGACCCAAAATCACTAATAGCGTCATACCGACGACGTACCAGCCGAGGAACAGCGGTCCGGGGAAATACGCTCAATCAGGTACCAGCCATGGAACACAGATGACATCGAGACACAGTCCAAGGATAGAGCGAATGATGGAGCAACCAGGAGAAAATGAAGCAGAAAGAAAGAAAACACAACCAATGAGGCTAGCCAGGTGATAGGCTACCCATTGAAATACTTTGAAAGAAAATAGCCTATTTTCTCTATAGAAATATGCGAGGCCTCTGGCAAAACCGACTCTGATGGCTGTCACCAAGACTTCGTTTTTCCTTGTCGTCTCTTACCTAATAACAATCATGGAAGACTGCTTGACACTCATCTTGTATTCACTGCAAATTCGCGCGAAGTCATCTGGTTTGGTAGCCAGTAGGATTGGCGTCGCCCAGTTGGAAAAGTGCACCAGCATCCTAATAACCAGTTTGGTAGCGGTATAATTCGTCGTCAGCTTTGGGCCTCGCTGCATACGGTTGTGCTCATATATTGATCAATTTTTGTGGGCTATTCTCCATCAATATTATTGTAGCCTGAAACTAGTTCAGATTTCCCAATTCCTCCGCAAAATCCCTGCATGTTGTTAGAAAGTTTCTTCAGTCCAACGACTTTAGTAACCATTAAATGAGCATCCGGCGTACTAAGCAGTGCACGTATCCAGCCTCCTTTGAGTTGATTTGATCGGTCTTCCGATGTCACATATGCAGGGAGTTTGTGTCTCAGCGCCGTATTGTGCCTGGACAATGCATTGACCGAGAATGCGAAGCTACTCACCTACGTACGTCCGAAGTTTGATAGTTCACGATGACAATGGTTTAAAGTGCTGTACAGCGTTCGCCGTAGTTATTGTCACTGATGCCTCCGTATCTATCACCATCAGTACCTTCTGTCCTTGAATGTAGAACTCCACGGTGTATGGCACTGCACGTAGATTGGAGACGGTAGCAACCATACCGAATGTAAATCTAGTTAACTATCTTCCAAACAATTCCCCGCTTTCGCGCGTGGTTTATACAGTTCCGGATGCCGCTTTACTGACCTGCATACTCGCGCCAAAAGACCCACCTTCACACAACTTTACACAGTGTCTTTTGGTGTCGAAGAAATGATGTGTTTGAACCAATGACATTAACGTTGGGGAGAACTCCCGGTTGTTTTCTGATTGAAGCAAGCACCCGTTCCGCAAAACATTGCAGCTTTATAAACACAAATTGGCTTCAGCTCATTAACCTCCGCGACAATGTAGCGCCGTTGGATCCAATCTCATGTATCTCACCCTGTATGATGCATTGGGCGGTTTGTCCCATCCTACCTTCACCTGCGTCATTTTTGGTTCCACAGCAGTTCATTATGAAGTCGGAAAAATTTATCTCACTTGTTTTTCATCATTCCAAACATCGATATTGATCGGATGCAAGCATGTAAATTAGCACCCTGACTGTCAGTACAGTGTGGTGCTAGCGGCTATCCGACATGCTCCGATCGTCAAGGGACATGTTTTGATCATAGTTGTGTTGGATGCCTAGTGAGGCAGGGAAGCGTGCCAAAGCGACAATGTCGCCCAAGCTGAACTCCGTTTGACGACCCACGATAGTCATAAAGCACATTTGTAGCTCGTGAAACGGGCACTATCCGGTACTTTTTGATGAATGGGTATGGAAGAAGTATTCAGCCGTTCTATAGTGTAGGATGGGTTGCAAAGCAATAGCCTTTTGAGACTCACTGGGTGACATATGCAAAATAAGCGCGAAATATTCCGGTGTGGAACAAGAATCATCAATAGTTTGGACGTGACACTTTACTTCACAATTGTGTAGCGTTTAGCACTGTCTGTTGGACCGCCAGTGTCGTTGGTATTAACCTGTATTCATATATACATACTAGTGTGTGCACTCGAACAAAGTCACATTCTGTTTGATGATCTGCGAAGTTGGTTGGATTTTTTTGTTTCCATGTGCCTCTCCTAGGGACACAGCTGGACAAGAACAGTACTACTCCATCGTTGCGCTGCACTTCAGAGAGGCCAAGGTAAGCCAGCCCCTATGTACATTTTATCCGAATTATCTAAAGCAAAAAAAGCCAGAAACACAAATTAAATGCTACTAGAACCACAGGCATGTGCCGCTTTCTATGCTAGATTATCAATAACAGTGTACTGTTTGTCCTGCTCGGCAAGTCTGTGTCATAGCACCCTTGCTTAACTAATATGGTATATGTGCTTGTCAAATCCCACATGCCATGTAAGATAATGTATACATTAGTACAGTACGGCCCACTCCTTATGTGAACACACTCTATATCATCCCCGCGAAGCGCTGATGGAGCCGTGGTGGAGTGGTGCCGGGTTCACTGGGCATAGTTGTTAGGGAGGTTGTTGTAAGTTCGTTCGAGACTCGTTGTTGCCGCTAGTTTCTGCGTACATTGGTTGAAAATGTGCGAACTCTGGACAAGTTCCGTTAAAAATAAAGGCCACTGGATACATTTCCGGTTGCGTTGGTTCGCTGACTTGGGGCTGCATGAGATAAGTCTCCTCTAAACTGCAGTTGCTTTTCCATCTGATTCCGTGAAATGCATAGTCTATCACAGTACCACCGCTGCATGCGCTGTTGATCACGTTGACTGGTCATGAACCACACTACAGAGCTGGACTAGCTTCGGCAAGGATCGCGATTCCTTAATATTATTTGATTTCCATTATGCTTGTGTTGCTACCTCCAAGTAACTAATCGGAGCGCAAGTGTCACCTGAACACAATTAGTAGAAAATGATGTAAAGTTCCAAGCTCGAAAATGCCATAGACGGCACTGAGTATGAGGGAAGTACTCAACAACCATAGGTATATTTTAGTTGTTGGCTGCTTGCATTCTTGCACACCATGGCCAGTTTCGTCTGTGATCGGGCGCACCGAATGCAGTGAACCACGGCCAAGGTTCAAACAATGAAAGAGTTCAGCAGGTCGCAGCCACCATGTTACGCTGAGTTTAGAAGGGTTTTGATGTCTATTGGGCATCCGTATGGTGGCACACAGATTCAGGTTATCCATGAGTTAGTTTCCGTCAAAACTAGTTCAGTTCCATCAACGTAACCTAATCGGAAATGGGAGCAACTTTGCTATGATTTACTTAGAGGAACACACTCCACGAGAGTTTTGTCACTCCAGGCAAGGCGAGTGCATTTAAAACTATCATCGCCTGATATTTACTTAAACTTAGATACAGTCAATTAGGTTGATTCAACTAATGTAGGCTTTGTTCTCACAAAATAACGTCCAAAATAGAGACGCGGATATCAGTCCGACTCCACAGCAGCTATCATAGAACACCTACAAATACGTTACTTTGGTTGCCCGAAGGGATCAGTCATTCTCGATTCCTTGTTTCTCCATTTGGTACAGAGAAAATACCGACATCTCTGATGCAGATCCATTTCCACGTTCCAACGTGGATACTACAGGCCTGTATAAAACCATAGCTGAAATAATAATTTCCTGCATCCAATGCTCTAACTTTTGTTTCTGGGGTGCGCAACATTCAAAAACAACACACGATGGACACGTTTGAACATGTTTTCGTCAGGTAAAGCGTTAAAATTCCATTCGTTTAAGGCTGCAGCACACAGTATGCAAGGGTAGGTTGAAGGGCACATAAGCTTGGTTCGATATAATGATCGATTGCGTTCCATGCAGTCTGTCCTTTGGGGTCCAGTACTTGGATCCCTTCATTACAGATGAGCCTATGTTGAGCATCCAAAAGCTCTCGATATCAAGCATGATTCCATTATCGGTCCGATATTGTATGGCGGCCGATTTTTCTCATCTACTTCCGTTCAACCTGGACTAGTGCATGTAAGCCACAAGCTCACTAATACATATAAGCTTAGAAACCACATCTTGAAGACCACAGCACAAGAGCACGACCTTATATTGGTGATGCAGGACAACCTGGGTCGTTCGGGGAGTCTTTAAGGGCTTCCAAAACCGAGAAGCAACATGTTGGACTCGTACGGAGGGAGTTTGGGCGGTTCGACCCCACAATCTTTCCGCAAATGCTCAAGGGGTGTATGAGGCCCCTTGCGCGATGGAGGTCTGGCAACAATTGCTAAAACGCGATCTGATTGCATCGGAGATCCCGTAGCGGAGAATAATAAAAAATCTTAAGGGCTTGTTTCACCTGCCATGCTAACTGCAACTGTAAGTGTTGTGAGTGTACAGCGGGAATTATCGCCTTGTACGGGGCAAATTCATTCTGACGTATCAGATTTTGCAAAACCCTATTAACTATTTGTAAGTGTTAGGAGCTTGTTTTGGGTTTTTGTGTAGATTTGTCGCAGTTGGACTCGGGCAGACAGCCAACACACATGCAAACACATTTGCCGTCACCTTATGAAAGTTAGCCGCAATACAAAAATGAGTGGCTAGTAGCTGAAGTTGACTACGCATTACAGTCGGCTAAAATGCCATAGAAATTATGGTTTTAGTGTTTGTCGGCTGTGGAACGTTCTTTCGACCATCCTGCGCCCCCGCTACCCATAAAAAGTGACTCGATGAAGCGTTACCGCATTCGTATTACGTGATTTGAACTCTGATCATCTGGCGACAACAGGACGCAGACGAACATTACGCTCAGCAACCCACGTGAAATCGGGGTAGACAGTTTCACATGCGTTACCGTGGAAAACACTGTGAGTCCACAGATGTGCATTTCACTTTAATATTACTTTTTTAAGTTGTGCAATTTGCACAAATCACCCCACGGGACTTGTCAAGCCATGCACTTGTTACCGGTTTTACAACGTTGTTCCATTAGGAGCAGAAAATACTCAGATGATGCCAAATCAGGAGAATGAAGAAGGTGAGCAAACAGTTCCATCAGCGATCTCAAACAACAACCACAGAACTCACAAACTCTTGTGTGGGATTATTGCTCCCGTGAAATAGAACTCCCTTTTACAGCTCTTCACACTACACCTATAGTATTCGCCGGTGATGGCATGACATTTTGGTAAGATACTCGATGAGTCCAACGTTTCTTGCATCCCAGAACACAGCGATCATCACTTTCCTTGTTTATAGCACCACCTTAAACGTTTTGGTGGATAAAGCTAGATGATTGCATTACAAGAATTGTCATTTGCTCTGTGCTTCTAACTGTTGAACCCATCATTTGGCTTGGGTGTGGGACTGTTGTCGAACATTGACTGGATCCGTCTCATACAACGCCAATTTCGTCAGCGACATGACCGGTGTAGTGTGCTTTAGATCAGGCGTGAAAATCTTAGATGCCCACCAAATACAATTCCCCGACACGTCGTTCTTTAAATAAGATGCTCTCTCGTTCACGGAAAACACTTACAGCACTGGCCAACATTTGCACGTCTGGCATTTGTCAACATGTGGTGCACAAGGTCGATGTTTTCTTGGATGGGGACAATGACATGACTTCTGTACTTCCGGTCATCTTAAAATTTTTCCACACAAAATCGATTGCAAGCGCCCACTTTTGCAAATGTCTTCAAGCTGAATCATCATTCCGTATTGCAGTAACCATAGCAGCGTGGATGCCCTTAGTTACTGACCTATCTTTAGTGGATTTTGAAAACAGCTAGGTGTTCAGTTTCATTCGTTATCATGCCGTATCTGTGGCATAAATTTTACAGGTCTCTACTTCTGTATCCATTGGGGGTTTATCCGAACAAATCATACAGCTAGCATATAAAGCTTTATGTACTGCATGGATAAGCTTAGCATTTTAAGACAAATCCTTTTTAGACACCTTAAAAGCTTTGCAGCCAAACCTCGTATTTTTAGCAAAATCAGTCGCACTACAGATGTTCTTGGTCAGAGTGTAATGTCTGCTTTTGTTTGTTCTGTCCCACTAGGCTTTCATCGTTGTCTACGACGTTACCGACCTGCGCACCTTTGAACAAATCCGAAAATATTGGCTCCGCTCAGTCGATGAGGTATTTGACTTCTCTGACCACATGTATTCAAATAGTTTTTGTTAATGTGGCAGAGTACTGTACTGAAGTGCATGCAAATCGTTGATTTACATGGGCCGCACTACACAAAAAGGATCCGGCCCTTCCGGACCGGATATCTATGGATAAGACTTGTGCGTCAGTTTCGAATGTTTGTTTTGTTGCGTAGAATTGCAGCTAACCCCTCGCCTTGTTTACTGGATCCCTGGCGATTGGAGATTAAAGCCCAAATTTGGGCCGCCACCATACTAATACAACTGTTCAGGTGCGGATTTCACATGGCGATGCATTTTTGCAGTTATAGTAGACTAGCATGCTTTTACAGACCAGTACGTCACAGCTTAAACAAACTAATTCATCTAAGCCGTCTACAAATCAAGCAGTCACTTCCAAGGATGCAAACTACCGTCCAATAACATTACTTCCCGTACTATCCAAAGTGATGGAATCAATCGTCGCAGACGCGCTGATGCAATATTTGGAAAGCCACAATTTAATAGCCCCAGAGCAACATGGCTTTCGTCAAAAGCATTCCTGTAACACTAACCTATTAATTGCACGTAATAGCTGGACTGAAGCTGTTGATGATGGAGTTGGAGTCGATGTCATCTACCTGGACTTTTCAAAAGCGTTTGATCGTTTAGACCATCGAGTTCTCCTTCAGAAGCTTCGGAACTACGGCATTGGCAATCCAATCCTGAGTTGGATTAGCAATTTTCTACAAGAACGACGGCTAGTGGTGAGAGTCCGAGAATCATTTTCTCATGCAATCGACGTGAGGTGTGGAGTACCACAAGGCTCGGTTCTTGGACCTCGTCTATTCTTGGTGTTCATTAACGATATGGCGAGATCAATCACTTCCGATTTCTTATTTTTCGCTGATGATATCAAGATATGGCGAAGGATCAGAGGGCCGGATGACCATGAACGGCTCCAGCACGATCTTAACACAGTGTCGAACTGGTCAGTTCAAAACGCTCTACCGTTCAACGTAGACAAATGTCGCGTAGTACAATTACGCCATAGACATAACTACACCTACATACTTGGGACAAACGAATTGCAGAATAGCTACCAGGAACGTGATCTTGGTGTGATCGTACAGAGCGACCTCAACTGTTCAAAACAGGCTGAGGTAGCTGCGAAAAGAGGCAACCAGCACGTCGGCATGCTGCGAAGGGCATTCGGGAGATTTGACCCATCAATCTTCCCAATGATGCTCAATTCCTACGTGCGCCCGCAAGTTGAGTACGCAATCCAAGCTTGGCAACCTTGGTTGAAACGCGACCTAGAAGCGATAGCGGCACTACAACGGAGAGCAACAAAGAACGTGATGGGCCTGCGGTATCACTCTTACCACCGAAGGCTGAAGTTGCTGGGCATTTTCAGCGGACGCTATCGAAGGCTGCGCGGCGATCTCATATTAGGGTATCAAATATTGAGTGACCCCAACCACGTATGCCGCCATTTGCTGAAACTTAGCCACAACACGCAGCTCAGGGGTAACTGCTTAAAGTTGAAGGAACAATATAGCCGTCTAGAGTGTCGACGGAATTACTTTTCCCTTCGAGTTTGCAAACCATGTAACGCACTCTCAGACTCAGTAGTATCCTCTCCTACCCTGGATGTTTTCAAAAAACGATTAGATGTTGCCCTCAGCTCCCAACATTTTGTTACCTAAGCTCCTCTGTTGTGGATTACGCCAAGCATGTTTTCAACAGGACTAATGTATCAAATGGACCTAAGTGAGCGACCATATTTTATTTTCTCACTCCTTACCTCAACTATCACTGCGCCCCAGTGTCTTTCTGAATGTTTACGCGCGATATTGCTTTTTCATTTCACACTGATGTTAATTATCAAAGTATTCATCTCGGCAGACGTTCGATAGATGACCCAGACATATTTTAATTGCATCATATTCACCGCTACCATCCTACGGGACATGTCAAGCACTTGCTTTTATCTCGTGATAAATCATTGTTCATTGTTCAATTGGGATCGTTTATGAGGATTTTCGAGACTGGCTTATGCAAACCACCGTGGCTGCGTGAATGAGGAGGGCTTGTCAGCCTTGCCACCGCACTGTCCATCTTTTATATTGGTCAGTAATGCATACCGAGCGTGTGCAAGAAGCAACAATCTCTTAATGGTTTTTCGCTCACCTCAAAATTTAATCCAAGCTCAGATGGGCAGCCGAAGTGATTGGATAATTGAAAACGTTTGTGTACAATGCTCAACAGCAAATTCTCTCTGGTTGTCACCGATAGTACATTAAACGGCTGATCACCATTGTTTGAACAAAGTAATGCAGTGGAACTCTTCGGAGGTAGTCCAAACAAGTAAAATCAATGAAAAATGGATTACTACACTTCAGTATGTGGTGCGTGCTTAATCTGTGGATGTTTGACCCCATGTGATAGTCTGCTGAATCTGATGCTTCTCGGGGGTACAGAATTATGGATAAGGATATTTTCCCCCTTGCTTGTGAATAATTGTTCCGTTCTTAATTTTATCGCTTCCCTATAGTTTGTCATCTTGATTTTATCAAATAGTGACCCGCGATTCAGTGAGCTATTGTCCCCGTCATGGAATATCTGAAATGCTTAGGAAAGGGGCTGAACTTTGTGCATGAAGGCTGACAACTCAGTACCTTCAATCATCCCACAAAATAATCCCAAAGACTTAGTGAGGCAGCCCTGCGTAAAATACTTAATTGGTACCGTTGATATGTTACTAAAGTTTATGGAAATGATATTCCTTGCTATTACTTTACAACCGAATAGAGCCACTATTTATTCACTCGTCCCGTGTGCATCAATCTCTACACTGACATCATTTGAACAAAGAATACCTTACTGGTTGTACAGCATTCTTCATGCGTACGACTGTCCGTTTTACCTAACATCGTGACCCTTCCTATATTGCTAGTTCGGCTAGCTTAAACTTTCTTCCCAGTTCACAAATCAATTAAGGAAGGCAAAACCAACTAACTGAAATACGAAGATAAAATACTGCCATGTAACAGATGAGTGGGCATATCAGGCATTACCTTTAGACGTAGAGATCAATGGGACGCAGCGCGACAATAGATTTGAGAGTTACTTTAGCTTTCGCGGCGTTCCTACTGATCTGGATCCAGGATATAACCTCTGTCTGTCCTCAGGTAGCCTGTTTACGGCCGCTGATAAAGATTCCGTGTCATAACTTGCATCATTATCATCATCATCATCATCATCATCATCATCGTCGTCGTCGTCATCATCATCATCATCGTCATCAACAACAGCAGTACATCAACCATTTGAACTGATGCTTCGCTGCCATACAACCATGAGGACCCATGAAATAAAGAATAAGAAGAGAGAGAGAAGGGGGACTTACCTGAGAACCTTAATGCCCTAAGCAAACATTCAGGGTCAAGGCGCCTACACCTTGTGCAGACAACATACCGTCACAAACAGCTGGCTATCATGCAAAGATAAGGCGGCATCGGCGAGACAGCTTCCTTGTGGCTTTCACTGCCACGCGTCATAATCAGCCATTACCCCGCAGATAACTCAGCACCAAACACACTTTAAACAGGCAATCCAATTAGGAGACGGCAGCAGACGCGCCACTGGTGTCGGTTGCGAGCCATATCCTGCAAAGTCTCGAGCCAAGCAAAAGGTGAGTCACTTGGACTCCAACTCGGAAGGCGAGACGGACCAACGGCACCGAGTTTGGTTGGCAGTGACTTCATTTCCCGTTGCCAAGTCAACTTCTGTCCACCTCGAGCATTGCGCCACCCTACACCTGGTAGACTGATCAAGGCCCTCCTAGGTAAGCGTTGACCAGGCATGCGTAGCACGTGCCCGAGCCAACGGAACTTATTCAATGCTATCTGTTGTTCTAGGGGGCTAGCATGATTATCACCACTTAGTACTCGCTTACGCACATCATCGTTAGGGATACACTGGTGCCATCCGACACCAGCAATGCTTCGCAAGCAACGACGATCAAAGACTTGAAGGCGCCTCAGATCTTCAGACCGAAGGGGCCAAGTCTCACTACCATAGAGCAGAACGGCCCTCACTGTGGCCTTGTATACCCGGCCTTTCAGACGGAGGGAAATTCCCTTCTGTCGCCAAAGATGACGCAGGTTCAAGAAGGCAGGTCTGGCTTTTGCAATGCGTGAGCTGACGTCAGTTTCTATGCGCCCATCATTGCTGATACAGCTGCCAAGATAAGTGAAATGATCAATCACCACGAGTTCCTCGTTAGCAACCGTCAAGGGGTCATCAAGTAGCTGGTGGTCCTGCAGTAACACTTTGCACTTTGGAGGTGCGTACTGCATACTAAATAATTGGACCACTCTGGACAGGCTATTCATGGTTGATTGTGCCGCCGCAAAATTGTCGAAAAGCAAGACGAGTTCGTCCGTATAATCTAGGTCAACTAACCTTTCACCAGGCAGCACTTCAACGCCTACATCGTTGGATTCCGTCAGGGAACACTCCATGATAGAATCCACGACGAAATTGAACAAAAATGGGGAAATCGGACAACCCTGATGAACGCCACTTGTGGTCGGAAAGTTTTCCGATAGCACACCATAGACCCTGACGCGGCCTGTAGTGTTCGGGTATAGAGCACGAAGGATGTTCGCATATTTCGTGGGAACACCTTTTCGCGAAAGTATTTCTATCAGAATTGATTGATCGACCGAAGCGAACGCACTCTTGAAATCGAGGAACACAGCTATGGTCTGTCTGCGGTATGCGAGGCGCTGCACTAGCCTCTTCCGCAAAGTAAATATATGGTCTATACAGCCACGTCCTTGGCGAAAACCGGCCTGCTCTTCCCTAATCCGAGATTTCCGTTCTGCAGTGAGGCGAAGAACAATAATCGAGGCCAACAATTTTGTCACAACTGGCGTTAGGCTAATACCCCTGTGGTTCGCACAGTCTGTGCCGCTGCCCTTCTTGTATATTGCCACTATA